AGCAGAATGACCACCAACTTATCCAGCATATGTTTTACGCAACAGATGCCCTTCCAGCCGCAACCCTATACTGGGAAACACCCATACACANCTCTTTCACACACATACATTCACTCCTTATATTTTCTTTTCAGCTTAGTCCCTTTGTTAATCAGGGGTCACCACAGCTGAATGAACCGCCAACTGATCCAGCATATGTTTTACACAGCAAATGCCCTTCCAGCCGCAACCCAACACTGGGAAACACCCATACTCATTTACTCACATACATTTATTCATGTTCTTTTCGGCTTAGTCCCTTTATTAAGTAGGGGTCACCACAGCGGAATGAACCACCTACCTATCCAGCATATGTTTTACGCAGCGGATGCTCTCCCAGCTGCAACCCAACACTGGGAAACACCCATACACACTCTTACACACACATTCGTTTATTCATTCATGTTCTTTTCGGCTTAGTCCATTTGTTAGTCAGGGGTTGCCACAGCGGAATGAACCACCAACTTATCCAGCATATGTTTTACGCAACAGATGCCCTTCCAGCTGCAACCCAACACTGGGAAACACCCATACACACTCTTCCACACATTAACATTCATTCCTTATATTTTCTTTTCAGCTTAGTCCCTTCATTAATCAGGCGTCACCACGGTGGAATGAACCATCAACTTATCCAGCATATGTTTTACCCAGCGGATGCCCTTTCAGCCGCAACGCAACACTGGGAAACAGCCATACACACTCTTTCAGACACATGCGTTCATTTATTCATGTCCTTTTTAGCTTAGTCCCCTTGTTAATCAGGGGTCGTCACAACAGAATGAACCGCCAACTTATCCAGCATATGTTTTACGCAGCGGATGCCCTTCCAGCTGCAACCCAACACTGGGAAACACCCATACACACCTTTCACACACATACACTACGGCCAATTTAGTTCAACATGCAAACCCCACACTGAAACACTAAGTGACCCAGCCGGAGCTTGAACCAGCAACCTTCTTGATGTGAGGTGATTTTACTACCCAGTGCGCCACTGTGACGCCGTTCCAGTATATTTTTTACTTGTAATAAATACATAACAGTATTTATTTAAAACTGAATCTCCTACTCTCCTTCAGGCATCGGACTTCATCAGCATACAGCAGTGATCTTCATCACTAGCATTTTATTGACGCACCAAAATTTTGACTCCACAAACTCGCCCGGCAAATGACTGTCTTCAAACTTCCATTTGCATTTCATTTGTTCTTGAAAGCGCCCCGGAGATTCCCATATTCATAATGGAACTGCAACGCCATTAAAACACGTTTATTGTGTTTAAACTGCCGTGGCAGGGAGCACGTCACCTCATGAGCGAGGTTAAAGACGCCATGGCAGATTAATACCCACATCCTCAGCCGTCAGCCAGAGATTTACACGCTCTCTGCAGTAAGAAAGAGGCAGGTGAGCGCAGCGCCAGGCGTTTGGGTTGCGATGATGTGTTAATTAGTCCCTGACTGATTCGCACACAGTGGGTATATGGTAGTACGTGAGTGTTTGCGCTGTCGGCTGTTTATGGGTTTCCCTGGCTTTCTCAGACACACTGAAGTGCTTGCTTTGTCCTCGTGGACCCATGTTACTTTTTTCTTTAGCTGTCTTTAAAGTGGCAGGTAAGTCTGCATCAGCACCCAGGAGGCACCTGGACTCTCAGCTGAGCGCCCAAGTTTAGCCTGAGGCACGACAGTGAAGAGAGTGTTTTGCTTTTGCGTGCACGTACGGTTGCAATCACAGCTGTGAAAACAGAGCCCGACTACTTTTTTCTTTTTTCTTTTTCTGCCCGTCATCAAAAAGCTCTGCTGCATGCATGAACTCTGCTATAGAGCGATCAAACTGCTTATCGCAATAGTGCTGCATTATCCGCCGTCTAGAGGCAGCTGGTGCTGAATGCGAAAAGCTTCAAGTTTGCACTGCTTGAGGATCTCAAAATATCTTCCCAGTCGTGGGACATATGCGTCGGAAACAGCTGCGAGCTAGACATCTGTCTTGATGGTGAGCGAGTGCATAAAATGCTTGAAATTATGTATTCCGGCTACTGATTTATATTGACAAATAGGGGCTGAAAATATGCAAACTACCATTGTATGTATTGTTCATAAATTTGTGGTGCCTGTG